CCCCAAAACCCCAAAACCCCAAAACCCCAAAACCCCAAAACCCCGAGATTTGAAAACAGGGTTGAAAACCAATTAAGAATTTCATATATCGAAACTTATGGACGGCTTTTGGGATCAGTACTTAGCACGAGAGATTGGCCTTGTCCTTCTCACCTCGCTAGCATTCTGGATAAGATGTTCAGGCCCTGACTTGCTGGTGTGGATTCTGGATTTCTTCTTCATTATGTCCCTCTGTAGCTGTTTGGTCTTGAAACTTTTCTTGAATCCAGCAGTTTGAGTCATGGCTATGTTGTCGTGACTAGAATTAACCAAGGATTTTCTGTTAAATTTTGTCCTTTTCAAAGATGGCTTCTCAGAAGTATTTCCTGTCTTTGTATAATATGTTGAAGTGTTTTCACCAGCGAATAACTGATTTGTTAGATATACAGTGCTTAAAGGAATGTATTTCTTAGAATCTTGCCTCTTTCTGAAATTACTTGCCTGCTCACCTCTAATACTGATATTCGGAGCCTTTTGTAAATCCAAATTTTGGTGAGGCTTAGTAGAGCTTGAAAGATTTATATAAACTGCGCTTATGGGATTGGGAGCTTGTGTCTTCTCTCCTGATGCAGCTCTAATTCTTTCTTGAAGTAAGGAATGTGGCTTCCTGTTATAATTTAGAGGTTTGCGTCTAAAAATTAACTTCCCATATTAAAAAGAACCCTCTTTGGCATTGAATGAATGAAAACCTGTGGAATTATAGATAATTCTTAATAATCTTGAATTCCTACTAAATGTGTTGCTTACATTGGCTCAATTTTGACACTGGTTAAGTCCTGGTTTCACATAGATTTATTCCTACGGTTCCTGAGTTTTTGGGGTTTATTATCAATACTGCTATCCATCGATCTCTTATGTGCTTTAGCCAAAGAAGTCTGTCTACTCTTCTTGGGTTTATTTAGGAGAACTCTATAAGTTGTGTTATTATGGCGGTACTTCTTTTCTGATATGCCGTGGGTTCAGGTAGGAAGCTGAGTATTTATACGACTGCTTCTTTACTTCACTCTGAGACTCATTAAAAGGAACTTCAAGAATGCAATTAATGTAGTCTTCTCTGCTGTTAAACTCTTTTAAAATTTTATTAAATTTGAAAGAATTTGAATATGATCCGGTCCCTGATTTGTTAGCAAGTCTGGAGATAGCTACTAAGTTAGATAACTTTCTTACTTTCCTGGACTTTTAAGTCATACCTAAGATCTTTCAAAATGGCTTGTGCTACTTCAGGATCATTTCTTCTCTAAAATAGTGAAAATTTTGGAGCCATACAGATTGATTACTCAGAAATGTTCTATGTTGAGCAGATTGACACTCTCCTTGAGTGGATAACTGTGCTTTTGATATTCCTTCCATTGGAAACTCTTTGCATGGCTGATTTAGAAAATTAACATTCTCTTTATCAAATGACGGGAACGGTTGTTTCATATTTAAAATAATCAATTTCTTAGCAATTATTGGGGTTTTGGGGTTTTGGGGTTTTGGGG